CATGTAGCCGATCTTAAATAGTTGAGATTTATGGTCTTGTTATTATTGTTGAATCATTTTGCTGTTGACTGATATATTTGTGTCCATATGCGTGCATAAAAAATCAACCAGCACTTACATATATACAAAATTGTGAATGTGTATACATGATAGTTGCTGGCAACACTCTTGAAGGTTCTTCTTAAATGATAGTTGTAGGAGTACTTGATATAGGATTGTGTTACGAACAGTTAGCTTGTGATAGTCTGTTGTCCCATGGGGACAATTAGCTTCTGATAGTTTGGTGTTTTATAGTGAGGTATCTCTATAGATATGTCATATTTGGTATTTTAAAATGTCATCATGTCTCCTACGGAAGCTTTGCACAGAAAGCTATGGTAGTTTGTTATCTCATGGGGACAGTTAGCTTCTGATAGTTTGATGTCTTATACTGAGGTATCTCTATAGATATCTCAGATCTGGTTTTTAAAATGTCATCATGTGTCTCTCATGGAAGCATTGCACGAAAAGCTGCCAATTTTCATTTTCTATAGTGTACTAAAATCAGAAAAAACGTATATCTGCATATTTGATAAAAACTCCTGTAGAGAGACTGAGAATGATGGTTCTTTCATGTTTGCATATTCTTTTATTCTATTGCATCATTTCTATGTGAGGTTCTTGCTTGTAGGTGCATCTCAAATTGCAAGGTCTTTGTGAATTATGTTTTTGACTTATGTATGATATTCTTCACCATTGGGCCTATTCACTGAACCATGCTGGGTGCATTCAGATTTTGAGATTTTAGCATTCCCATGCAATCAGTTCTTGCATCAAGAACCTCGGACAGAGCAGGAAATAAAGGACTTTGCTTGCACAAGATTCAAGGCTGAGTTTCCAATTTTTCAGAAGGTAAATATTTCTTACCGGTTGGATCATTAGGTCTATTCTCTTTGCAGTTATTTAGTTGCTCTATTTTGATTAGAATAGATGTTGTGTAAAATATGGTCCATCTTAAGGGATAGTGTACTATATATGACTTGTGATCAGTTTATAGTAAACTTAATTACAAATAAAGAAAGCTACTTTTTGTGTTAGGGGTGAACCAGACTGGTATTAAATCTCTTTTTCTTGCTTGAATGTCCATTGGTTAGGGATGGAACCTGAGTTCTTGTAGTACTGACATGAGTTGGATGACTAGGATAGAACTTAGTGTTCATTTATTTTGGGGCCTATGCTTTCAAACTCTGAATCACACGATAATTAGTTTGTAGTGTCATGACATTGCTTAAAAAGAAAGCAAAAAAGTGGAACATGTCTTACAGAGACTTATGTGCTTGGAATCTACTTGTGAGCAACAATAAATAGATTGTGTTAGGAAGACATAATGGGTATGAAACATGATGAGAAAACAAGAAAATATGATACTATTCTTAGTAGTTGCTTCTCTTATAGGCCCTGATTTTCTATGACATCACATAAACTATATATATATATATATATATATAAGTTTCACAAGTGCTCCTCGGTGATTGACACTGCATTTGCTGTTTGTGTGTTGTTCCAACTCTGCTCTGATTCAGCTATGCCTTCAACATAAAAAAGATAGAGCGAGAGAAAAGACTTATCACCAATTTGGATAATCAGCGGAAAATACTAGTTGTTTATGGTAAAATGACTAGAATACTGTATCTGTGATACCTGTAGACACTTCAGTTTGCTTCCTGATTATTTCACAAATACATGGTTGTTATTATTGATCTTCTGAAGAGGCATTTTGCTTTATAACCTTCAGTAATTGGTTCAGCATGGATCTCTGTGTATTAAAGAAGAATGATAAATGAGAAGTTAAAATGAAGGTGGCTTCTTCAAGTGATTTAGGATACATGGACAAAGAGCTCAATGATGGAAGGTTCTGGGCCAATGAATGACTTTAGCTTGGTTTGGCATGTATCTTGCTTGCAGATTTGCAACCAGATGCAGCAGTGGAAGTGTCATGATACTAAGTAGAGAGCCCCGGTGCTTCTTTGAACAACCATCAGTCTATTTAACTCTAGGCCTTCGAGAACCTAACATAATTTTAGGTTGTCTTTGCCTTCAAAACAAGAAAGAATGGCATTTCCAAGAAATCAGAAAGTATTGAGACCATAGCATGTTCCATGGAACAGTAATAAAGGTAAATTTTTCTGCCAAATGAGTATCATGTAGTGATTCCTAGTAACTTATTTTTGTAGTCACTGATTATAAAACCTTTTAAGAAATATGGAACTCACCAACCAAATTATATGCAGGTTGATGTCCTTTTTCTCATGTATCTGTCAGTATTTGTCACAATCATAAGCTACATGTTTAAATGGTGTGTTTTCCGGTGCCTATCATATAGGTTAAAGTAAATGGACCAGAGACTGTTGCTGTTTACAAGTTTCTTAAGGCAAGTAAACCAGGTTTTATGGGAAATAGGATCAAGTGGAATTTCACCAAGTTTCTGATTGACAAGGAAGGCAAGGTCATCGGTCGATATGGGACAACAAAGTCTCCGTCGTCCATCGAGGTATGCTGTTCTGTTACATGGGAATTGTTTTAATCCTCTCCTAGTTGTCAGAGTGCACTCAAGTATCTCTCTTATTTTTTGACTTATTCTCTTACAATTGTGCAGCAAGACATCCAGAAAGCACTTGGAAGCTAAAAAGGGAGAAGGAAAGCACTTGGGAGGGATCTACCAGTGTATATCAGTAACGGTGCATCACTATGTTCCTGGACATACGTAAAGATTTGCTTTCGTTTTCCGTCTTTGTTTAACATCTTAGTTGTGTAGATATTTGGCTATAGCCCACCAGCTGTCCATACACTATATGCACTTGTGTGTATGTTTTGTTATTTACTCTTAATTATGTTTGAGATGTCACTTAATATGACTTTTTTGCTTGGCTTCTGATTCAAATTTATTACAAATAGGGATTTGTAAATTCCAATCAATGCTGTTCTTTTTAAGAGGCCCTTTTTGTCCAAACAACATTACTTTGAATTCAGCTATAATTGGCATCTAACATCTTAAGTTATTTGAGAGGTGGATTAGTTTCTAAATTGTCCAAGGGAACACAGTTGTGAGCTACTTACTATCTCTACACTAGAGACAGCTCCTCTGCTGTGTAAACTTGGTAAAAAGCTGTGGAAGGAATCAGTTCTGAAAGAACATCCAGGTAGATCTCTTCAGGGTTGATACAAGGTCTCATGTTACAAGTTGGTATCAGACTCCCTCTTTTTATCCTTTTTTTTTCCCCCATTTCTTTCATATATAAATGTTACATAGCCATATGCATTAGACTGTTTATAATGAGATTCAAACCCTGGATCATTTAATTATAAACACAATGCATTAACCACAAAAAAAAACCACATATGTGAGTTAATATGTGGCGAGAGATTGGATATTTGGGATGAATTAATTGTTATGAAGTATAATATCACGGTCCTGACGATATATGCTGGTCAATAAAATAAAATTTTATAAGGGTTAAAGAACAGAGGACGTGTTCTCGTCTATAAGTAGATAGGACCTTTTTATGCTTAGTTGGTTGTACCCACCTTGGTGATCATATCTTTTAAGATGACTATATCCTCAAATTGACTGCTATTTGACCATAATATTCAAGACAATCATATCTTGGGTTCTCGATGACCCAATCAAGTCCAACTAATGATAGTTCAACTAGAACTCAACCTTAACGAACCATCTATGTGGGGTCTACACATGACATTGTCATCTGTGATCTTTATGTAACGTTCACGTACACGGTATCTTTTTACACTTTTGTGTCCTAACTAAGCAAAGCATTCGAATCATTAAATTCAGCATTTATAACCAAAACATCTCCTTATGCTCAACATCTTCCTAATTACGCAGAGCGTCCAAAGGGTAGGGTATGATGTGACCTTCTTGGCCAAAAACATCTCCTTGTGCTCAATGTGTCATAATTAATACATCTTCTTGCACTCGAACATGCCCTAACAAGATGAAGCATCTAAAGCTTTTGAGATAGTCATGACAACCAAATCATTCATCTCTGATGCACCCGTGCCAAGCAAGCCATCCATAGCATATCTCTAATGCAACCATCGTGACCAAAGCATATCCTAATGCTCGGCACGTCTTAACCTAATAAAGCATATCAAGCATTTGACATAACCTTTGTGACCAAAGCATACCCTCACACTCGATCCACTTTACCCAGACAAAGCATCTAAAATGTTAGACATAACCATCACGATTGGTCAAGGCTACTCCCTTTCTTGGTGCTTCTACCTCCAATGAACTTACTACCTATTGCCCCAAGCATTGTAATGCGCACACAATGACTGTAGAGATCTCACAATGGACATTGTACCTCAACCTGATTGAGTCTTCATCTTAGAGCACAATGGAGAAGTAAATGATATGATCAATTAGAACTCAACACTTAAGTCAACTGACTGACCTTGCCATCTCAGCATAGAAGATGCCACTGCCTATATGTATATATGTGTATATATATATCCATCTAATTTTAATTTTAGCATATATCTTATAATTTTAGAAATATTCATGTATTTCCTTAAGGAGAGATCGGAAAATTTTTAATTCATATTGGTACCCTAAAAAACTTCATATTTATTATTTTCATATTTTTTATATTACTGGTAGTTGACGGTATTTGCCTCGATACCATGTATAAAAACTGAAAGAGGAATATAATAGTTTATAGCAATTTAAATAATATTTTATGAATTATTTTGATCAAGCATTTAACCTGGACTAAAATATGAAATTTCGATATGTATTCACCATTCATAGGAGTGTTGTCCATCTAAAACACTGAATTGGGTAACACAAATGCCTCAATATTCAGATACAAAATATAACTTGGAAAATTAATATGTAATGCAAATGCATGAATACGAGGAAACAACACAGGTCTCAGAGTGCTTTATAAATATTCTGCAAACCATTTGTTCCAAGCTCAGTTTTAAGATCTTGTTTCAAGATGCAGCAGTTCCTCAGGTGGTGGTGGTGGCTGTTGCTGTGGGCTCTGAGTTGCTGTGTCTTCTCCACAGATGGAGCTGCAAACATCACAAGAGTCATCATTGTTGATCAAAGTGGGCAAGGAAATTTCACAACTCTTCAATCTGCTATTGACTCACTCCCTGATGGCAACTCACAGTGGATACAAATTTATATCAAACAAGGAACTTACAGGTTTGTCCATCATACTCTTTCTTTTTGAAGTATATTTATCTCAGAGTTTCTGGATGATTTTGAATGTAAATTATGATCATCATGATGTATTTCAAAATAAAATATTGTAGTAATCTTAATTTCAGGTCTATATAGATATATATATATATTTTTCTGGTGGTGTTGTTACAGAGAGAAGGTCTTGATACCAGCCTCAAAAGGATTCATTGTGCTGCAAGGCGAGGGTTCGAAGAATACTCTGATTACGTGGAGCGATGATGCGTCGCATGGCGGCACAATGAACTCTTCCACTTTCAGCGTCTTTGCAAACGATTTTGTTGCTCGAAATATTGGATTTGTTGTAAGAATTCCATCCCGCACCATTAATTTTACTCTCCACTGCAAACGCAAAGACACACAAGCAATAGCAGCAAAAGAAGAAGAATGCAACGCATGCTCCAAAAACTACTGTGACTACGAACATCAGTCTCTCTCTCTCTCTCTCTCTCTCTCTCTCTCAGAGACATAATCTTGTGCCTGAAAACATCACAATTTGGAATGATCAACCTTGAACAGACAAAACTACTGTGACTACAAGCATCAGTATCTTATATCCCTAGCTCGAATAGAACCTCAATGATAAACCACTGCTCTCTCTCTCTCTCTCTCTCTTTGCACATTGCAACTATACTGACACAGACGTAATAATCTTGCTTCCTGGCAGAACACATTCAAGTCCGGAAGTGAAAGGCATCTGCAGGCAGTAGCAGCACTAGTGGGAGGAGACAGGAACTCGTTCCACGACTGCGCCTTCATCGGCTACCAAGACACGTTATGTGACTATCGTGGACGACACCACTTCGATAAGTGTTGGATCGAAGGCGCTATTGATTTCATCTTCGGCTTTGGTCAATCCGTCTACAGTGTATTTTATTCCCTACATCCCAAGATAGATCGAAGCTTAATGATGCGTCGTAACAACATCCCTTCTATTAGTATAGAGAAATCATAGTCGTAACCTTGGTTTTTGAGCTTAAACTGTGTGTCGCAGCGATGCGTGCTGAACTCGGTGGACGGCGGTTGGTTAACTGCGCATGCCAAGACGAGTGCCGACAGCCCTGGCGGGTTCGTGTTCAAGTACTGCACCATTCGTGCTACAAAAATGACCTACTTGGGAAGAGCATGGAACCAACACTCCACAGTATTGTTCCATAAGACGTGGATGCCATCCACCATTAGGCCTGAAGGGTGGGATGCTTGGCATGTCATACCAAATCAGTAAGCAACTCTTGCCTCCTTCACAGTCGTCTTGTATCACCCAAGTCATATAAGAACAATCTATCTGCGATGCCACTACTGCTACTAGCTTAGAATCTCCCCAAGTGAAACTAATACGGTGAAGAAATGCTGAGCTCTGTTCTTCATCTGCAACCTCAGGTACCAAATGACCTATGTAGAGGATGGAAACATCGGAGCAGGTTCAAATACCTCTGGAAGAGTCAGCTGGTTAAAGAGTCTCCCACCCGAACAGTTGCAAGGCTTCCTCAGCAGCATCGAGTTTTTGGGCCCCGATCGATGGTTTGATAAGCAGCCATAGCAGAAATCTCCCACGGCACTTGTCATCTTCTTTAGCTGTAGCACATAAGCCATCATCTACGCATGCATTACTTTATATGCGCTCATATAATTGACATTTATCCGAATAAAATACGAGCAAATTGATCTACGAATGACGACATGAATGCAGAAAACATAGTTCTCTTTCGAGGATAATAATATTCTTTGAGAATTCTTTTCCGATACAATCCAATCCGAATAATCTATCGACTTCATCCTGAACTATTATAGTATATTATTCCAAATAGTATAGTATGTTTTTAGAGAAGGCGACGGAGCTATCGATCACACAAGAGTTACTCTTTCAATCCACGTATAGGTGGAATTTTGCTTGTTCTGGATAATCTTTAATATGTAATTAGTTCAGATATTGCATGGGAACAAAATGCAGCGTTACGCGCATGTCATGGCACTACTCAGCCCTGTGTATGACGACACCCTTCTCTCCTCACTCTCGGTGCCCTTTGCAGCGACCTGGCTCTCCTTCTCCACAGTTTTCTCAGCACACACAGTCTCATCCTCAACCTTGACTGGTGCAACCTCCGCAACGACGTCGGTCTCATTCTTGTTCTCGGTGGCTAAAAAGCTTCGTACGATCTCGGCACTGGGCGCCCACACGACCTCCTTCCAGAGCTCCTCCTCGGCGCCCTGCCCTCGCTGGCGAAAGAACTCGGTCGAATCGACCCGGTGCAAGTCCCACCCCATCACGCGGAACCCCTGGATCTTCTGCAGCTGACCGCAAGTCAGATCGAATGTATTGGCCTTGACCTTGTCTAAGCTGGCCTCCAGCAGCCTCGCCTTCGTCTCCTCGTCGGCGCCTTCCTCTGACTGGAAGTAGAGGTGCATCTCCCGTACGCCGATCGACAGCCGGATGCCCGTACTGTAGTCGCCGTCGGGCTTGAACATCGACCGCGCCTCCTCCACCAGCCCTAGCTCCACCATCTTGTCCACCCGCGCATACACGAAGTCGCGGAGCACCGTCAGGTCCACGTCCACCCACACGAAGCAGCAGTCGTACCGCGAGCGGAAGCCGCATCCGTCCCCCTCGACCAGCTTCTTCACGTACGAGTTGGATCCGCCGGCGATGATGGGGAGGCGACCTCGGGCGAGGATGGCCTCGACCAAGCGCGTGGCCTCGCGGCGAAAGTCAGCGGCCGTGAAGTTCCCTTCCGGGTTCACTCCGCCGATGAGGTGGTGGGGGACGTCCTCTTTCTCCTCCTCGGTTACCTTGTTGGTGATGACAGGGATGCCGTCATACACCTGCATCTTGTCGGAGTTGACGACCTCGCCATTGAAGCACTTAGCGAGAGCGATGGCGAGCTTGGACTTGCCGCTTCCGGTGACGCCGAGGACGAAGACGACCTTCTCCTTGCTGTGTAAGAGGCTGGAGGAGTCCATGTCGAAGGAATGCAGCTGCACGTCTCCACCCAATGCTACTTAGCGATCGATGATATTTCTTTGTTTCTTACAGTCAATATTGGAATCTGAAACATAAATAACAAAGTTATGCAATGCTGAGAAGTAGTTAGATATATATATATATATATATATATATATATATATATATAAACAAAAACTTAAAAATTCCATAATGATAATTCTAATCTTTCAAATATCATAACATACCGGTCAAATTAACTAAAATATAAATATAATTAACAAGGTTGTAAAATTATTTTTTATGAATTAAAAATCTTAACGAATCGATAACTTTGAATTAAAAAATCTAGAATTCATGGAAAAATTTAGATAAAATGATATGAAGTAAATGCAGGTCAGAGAGTCTCAAATAATTTTAAAAAAAAATTTTTAAAAAAAATAATTAAATCATGGTTGCATGTATTTCGATCCAAAACATCGATTAATAATTTTAAACTTTTTTCTAGAAAATCTCTAATCAACCTAAATAAGATTATGCATCATCTAAATACTAAACTATGAAATTAGTATGATAAATAAATATCAAAAGAGAGTTAAAGAAAAAGATCATCACATGGCTCCTCTCTCAATAGGATTAGGACTTCACTTCGTCATTGATGAATGAGGAGTCTCTACCAATCCTTATATAGGAGAGAAGAGAGAATTCTATCGAGGTTTTTATAATTATTATTTAAATAATAAAATTTTATTTGTTTCTTATCTTAAACGAGTGAGTATGGTCATAGTTCACGCTACACTTTTAGGTTATCCAATTATCCAAAACCACTCAAAAGAAAATATATATTCTAATTGATATAAAATATACCCCTTTTATTAATTAAATTTAAAATTATTCTGAATCTAATTTATGTTGATGATTACATTCCTCCCCCCTAAAAATATTTGGTAGTAAATTTGATCTTACCTTAATGAAAAAAATTTGGATATTAGGCATTGTGTCATCTTCTCTCCCATGTCAATCGATCTTTATAACGAATTTAATCTTGTTCCTCAAAACATGATCCTTTCTTTCCAATATCTAGATCAATTGCTCCGGAAAAGTAGCCTAACTCTTAGATTTAGTGAAGATTCAGTGGCTAAGATAAGATAAGGCAAGATGGGATCCATGCATTTATGCAAAGTAAGAAGCCATTAATTGCAAGGACAAAGATACTCAAGAAATGAAGGGGATGAGTATTCATGCATCTCAACCAGTTAGCTTTCTCTCTAAGTCCCAGTTCAGTTTGAACTAGATCACTCCAAAATGGTAAGTACAATCAAATCAAGCTAGTGATTCTAAAAGATTGAATCAAACTAGAACCAAGCCAAATCAGTTTGGTTATAGGACAATCAATTTCTTGGAACCGAAACCAAAATTAGGTCGTGTTATACCTAATTTAAATATTTATCGGTTATCGGTAGGAAGTTGAGTGCTAGCTTTATTAATGAGTGTTAGAAGATGGGATTTGATCTTACAATGATCTGTCAAAATCTTTGTCAGATGAGGTTATGAATCCTCAATCTTTAGTAAATGAATTTGGTATACCACCACCAAACTAATGTTTAAGGTGTCCAATATATTGGATGATGATTACAGGTGTGTGCCATTCAACAATTTAGAGAGATTGTGATCTCGGATTATCTTTCTTTAATGAGGTAATGCCATATTGTTAATCTATGCTAATCATTAGGTAATCAAATAGTCAAGCGGAGGTGTCTCCTAAGTCATTTGGTCCTTATAGACGATCAAATTCACTTTGTCGAGAATAAGCAATTATGCGACCACATTAAATTTTCAACTCTTATGGTGAGTGATGAGGTTGAACTCGATGAAGAAATTGAGAGGGCACCAATTAAAGAGGTGGTGGGCTTCCCAGAGGAGGAAGAAGTTTTCACCTCGGAGATGATGGCTAGAAGATCAATAATACCAAACACAATGACATCTCTAGGGCCCTCAAGGAACCCGAGCACAAGCTAAGCCTCCTAGATTGTTGAAACTGAGACATTTGTCCTAACTATCGAGGTTAAATCAGTTGCCTCAATTGTCAACACCATTCTAATTGTTATTGCTGCTCTTACAATCGACTCTATAGAAGTTGATGAGAAAGAAATGATAGTGATGGATATTCTATCTCTCATGTAGTGACTTTCTTTCTATTTTTTTCTCTTTTTTTTTGTCCTTAGGAAATCCTCTGTATAAATGATTCTTGAGTATATCGTAAAAACTTTCTTTCTAATGAATACAAAGCTTTTGCAAAAAATATTACCTTGGTTATAAACTTGACTCGATGATGTTTGGGAATTCATAAATTCAAGTCACATTAACCTTAATCTCTCTTTTTTTCAGTTAGTCCCATAAGGATCACTCGATTAATGACTTTTGTATATATATTAGTTTGTGAATGAGATATCAAACTAAATCAAACTGATATGTTGAAGGATTCATAGTATTTTTTTGAACTTGACTTCGTTGAATTGAGTATATTATCAATCGAACTAAAGAGGGTGCTAAATCCACTCGTTAGAACCTACAAAAGAGCATACTTAACAAGACCCCTTTGATACTTAAATTAGTTAAAAACTTGATAAAGATAATATGGGGTGATTTGATGTGATATATTATATTGTCTATCCTCTATGTGATAGTCTTAGGATTTTTATTATATAGCGAAGAGTCATGAGAAATTAAATTATAGTCGAAATATTATAGAGGTATAATTATGGATTTATGGCTTTTTCTAGTTGTAGGTGGCAAGTGAATTAAATCCGAGAATCACTGGTTTGTTTTAGATTCCACTTGTTGAGAGTCAATATTAGCAATTATTATAAAACAATCGCGGAGTTTCAACATTCATTAGACTGAGCTTCCAATTCTGAGCAAGAAATAGAAGGTACTATGCATGCATATGCAGATGATCGGAACCCTAACGTTGAGCTTTAATGTCAACGGACAGCACACACAGATTCGAATCAGAACCGAAATCGTTAGTACAAGAACTGATATTAGCAACACATTCATGTGCATGAATTGATTGATCAATTTCATATGAACAATCACGTAGCTTCAACATTCACTAGACTGAGCAGGAAATCCCTTTGTTCTGTGTTGCCACAGCTAAGATAATGCTAAGCAAGAGTCGACGGTGACAGATGGTTGATCGTCGAGTCAATATTCTTTCATTATGAATATAACAATAACCATATGAAGTTTGACCAAAAATAACGATCATATCATCATTCCAATTATGCATCCAACTGGAAATGTTTATGGACGATGGGAGAAACAGTATCACTTTATACAAAAGCAGTTGATACAACCTAAGTTGCAAGCGAACTAACAACTCAAGATTCTAATAACACATTCATTGAATGAGCAGAGGAAGTCTAACAAAGTTACATGAGCTAAATATGGCAACATGTCATGGCCAGATCTACTTGTGATTCCCGTCAAAGAACACAACAATAAGTCAACCCCTTGCTGAACGGCAAGCCCGGATGGATTGAGAACTGCCTTCAAAATGCTTCCAATCAGGCCATCTATCTCCCAAGACTAAGTTCAAG